CCGTGGCCGCCAGGATGCTCCACCACTCAGCCACAGGGTTGGCGAATCGAGCGCGACCTGGCGCCGCCGCGGTCTTGCGCGCCGCATGCTGCGCGCCGTCCGCTCGCCCACTCATGGCATCAGCAGGGCCCCCGCGATCCCCTCGTGACTGATGGTGGCCCCCTCCAGCGCCGTGACCCAGCGCGCGCACCTCCTGGCGAGGTCGCCGGAGACTGGGCTGCCCGCCTGGAGAGCGCCACGAGGATCAGGGGCCTCAGGGAGCGGGCGCTCCGCCACACTCGCGGCCTGCTCCCAGGCAGCGGCCCGCGCCTCCACGGGAATGGCGCAGGACGTGCTCTGCTCAAACTCTTTCTTGAGGCCCTCGTCCACGAACTCCGCCTCATACATCGCCTGCTGCGTGGCCTCATTGCATGCCAGGGCCTGCCACTCCGTCGGTCGCTGAGGCAATTGATCACAGGCTGCCCTCAACTGTCCGTTGCCCTCCGCGTCGGCGCCCCGCGATAGCCGTAGGGGCCGCGCTCGATGGACGCACGCTGGCGCTTTCACCAGCAGGCGACAGCCCGACCCGTGATGCAACCGCGCTGCCACTGGCCCCTTCGTCGAGGTCTCTGTCGACATCGTCGCCGATGGGGGCCCCCTCAGGGTCGCCCAGGCCATCAGCTCGCACCGGCGGGCCTCCGCCCCGGCGAGCGGGGGTCGCGGCGCCCACGTTGCCGCCGTCGTAGCGCCGCTCGGGTTTTCCGCCCCGCTCCTCGCGGCCATATCGAACTAGACCTCGCGATTGGTGGTTCGGGGATGCCGTACGTAGACACTGATCTGGTCGGCGTCGGCGCCCGCTGCATCCGCTACGCCCATGCCGGGCCCGCCCCAGGCCGCGAAGCCCTCCGCCCCCGCCTGACTGGGAGGGGGGACCTGGCCCCTCACTGCCCCGGCGCTCCAACGGGTGGCCTCTGCATCGTCGGGGCCATTGCATGGCGCGGCCCAAGCCGCGGAACCCCCATCCCCGCCCGACTGGGAGGGGGGGCCTGGCCCCACGCTGCCCCAGCGCTCCTGTGAGCAGCCTCTGCGTCGTCGGGGTCGTCGCCTGGCCCGCTCCAGGCCGCGGGGCCCCCCATCCCCGCCTGACTATAGGAGGGGGGCCCTGGCCCCGCGCTGTCCCGGCGCTTCTGCGAGCGGTCCCTGCGTCGGCAGCTGCCTTCGCATGGATCGCAGCCGCCATCGTGCCCCCCGCGATGTGCGTCCTGTTCTGGGCAGTCCCCCCAGCTGCCGCACGCTTCAGCAGCTCCTGCCCTCGCTTCCTGGACCGCTGGCTCAGCGGGTCGGATTCCTTCTTGGGGCTGGCGCGGCTGGGCAAGGCCTTCGGCGTCACCGCGTGGAGGTGCTCCCAGGCCGTCGCCGCCCCCTGGATGGACGCCCTGAGCCCACTGCGGGCGCCCACGGGGGCCTGCAGGTCGGCCCCCAGCCGCGCTCGGTGCGCCGCTCTGGCCGACGCGACCCGGCTGCCCTTTCCTTCGCTGCATGTGGTGGTGCAGCCCTCGGGCCTCAGGATCACCCCGTCGACCAGCTCGGCCCATCATCCGAGGCGCCCCATCACGTTGGGCTGAGCGTTCCGAAACCAGCCACGGGTCAGCGAGGGGCCGTGAGCGCGTTCAGCCTCGGTGCGTTCACGCCAGCGGCGAGGCCCACCCCAGGGGCAATTATCCCGGCAAAGCAACCGAACAGCGATGTGTAGGAGCATATCTGGAAGCATTCCCCTTAAGATTCAGATGAGAACCCTGTTGTAGAATTCTGCTGTTCTCGCAGTCGCAGTAGCATTCGCGATGGCAGTCGCAGTGGCAACGGCAGTCGCAGTCACAGCCTCAGCCTCAGCCTGCCTCAGCCGCAGCCTCAGCCTGCCTCAGCCTCAGCCTGCATCAGCCTCAGCATAGCGTGCTTTTGCTTCAGCCTCAGTCTGCCTGCAGCCACGGCCTCAGCCTCAGCCTGCCTCAGCCTGAGCCTGCCCTCAGCCTCAGCCTCAGCCTCAGCGAGCCTCAGCCTCAGCCTGCCTCAGCCTCAGCCTCAGCCTGCCTCAGCCTCAGCCTCAGCCTGCTTCAGCCTCAGCCTCAGTCTGCCGTCGGCCTCGGCCTCAGCCTCAGCCTGCCTCAGCCTCAGCCTGCATCAGCATCAGCCTCAGCCTCAGCCTGCCTCAGCATCAGCCTGCCTCAGCCTCAGCCTCAGCCTGCCTCAGCCTCAGCCTCAGCCTGCTTCAGCCTCAGCCTCAGTCTGCCTTCAGCCTCGGCCTCAGCCTCAGCCTGCCTCAGCCTCAGCCTGCATCAGCCTCAGCCTCAGCCTCAGCCTGCCTCAGCATCAGCCTGCCTCAGCCTCAGCCTCAGCCTCTCAGCCTCCCTTCAGCCTCGGCCTCAGCCTCAGCCTGCCTCAGCCTCAGCCTGCATCAGCCTCAGCCTCAGCCTCAGCCTGCCTCAGCATCAGCCTGCCTCAGCCTCAGCCTCCCTGCCTCAGCCTCAGCCTCAGCCTGCTTCAGCCTCAGCCTCAGCCTCAGCCTTCAGCCTCAGCCTCAGCCTCAGCCTGCAGCCTCAGCCTGCAGCCTCAGCCAGCCTCAGCCTCAGCCTGCCTCAGCCTCAGCCTGCCTCAGCCTCAGCCTCAGCCTCAGCCTCAGCCTGCAGCCTCAGCCTCAGCCTCAGCCTCAGCCTCAGCCTCAGCCTCAGCCTCAGCCTGCCTCAGCCTCAGCCTCAGCCTGCAGCCTCAGCCTCAGCCTCAGCCTGCCTCAGCCTCAGCCTGCATCAGCCTCAGCCTCAGCCTCAGCCTGCCTCAGCATCAGCCTGCCTCAGCCTCAGCCTCAGCCTCAGCCTGCCTCAGCCTCAGCCTCAGCCTCAGCCTCAGCCTCAGCCTGCCTCAGCCTCAGTCTGCCTTCAGCCTCGGCCTCAGCCTCAGCCTGCCTCAGCCTCAGCCTGCATCAGCCTCAGCCTCAGCCTCAGCCTGCCTCAGCCTCAGCCTCAGCCTCAGCCTCAGCCTCAGCCTGCCTCAGCCTCAGCCTCAGCCTGCTTCAGCCTCAGCCTCAGTCTGCCTTCAGCCTCGGCCTCAGCCTCAGCCTGCCTCAGCCTCAACATCAGCCTGCCTCAGCATTCAAAATGTAGCCCGGGAGTGGAGTTCTGGGAACTCGAAGAACATGAAATGACCTACAGTTGGCTCCAGGCATTCGAAATCATGCCCAGGAATGGAGTTCTGGGAACTCGAAGACCACGAAATGGCCTACAGCTGGCCCCTGGCATTCAGAATGTGGCCCGGGAATGGAGATCTGGGAACTCGAAGAGCACGAAGTGGCCTGCAGTTTGCCCCTGGCATTCAGAATGTGGCCCGGGAATGGAGATCTGGGAACTCGAAGAGCACGAAGTGGCTTACAGTTGGCTCCGGGCATTCAAAATGTGGCCCGGGAATGCAGTTCTGGGAACTCGAAGACCACGAAGTGGTCTACAGTTGGCCCCGGGCATTCAGCATGTGGCCCGGGAATGCAGTTCTGGGACCTCGAAGACCACAAAGTGTGTAACTGTTGGCTAAAAAAATCCCTGCCACTCCCCCGGATCGCGCCCAGACCCCCCTGGGGCGTCATGATGCTCTTTTGACCCTACTAGAAACCTATCAGTCTTCGCAGTTAGGTAAATACGCTGCCACGACGACGAAATTGTCCGACTTCAGGGGCAGCGTGGCGGGGCAGCGCGGCGCCGCCAACTCGCAGCGCCTCCACGCGCTGCCCGTCGAACGTGGTCGTGGCCAGGTGGGCCCTCATCATCGCCCACTCTCCTCCTCTGGTGCCCTTCACCGTCTTCGTTGACGGGGGGGCTGGGGCGGCCGTCAGCTTCCACCCGCCTTCTGCAGATGCAGCCCTCATCTGCCCCAGCTTCTCCGCGTCCGCAATGCGCGTCTCAGACACAAGGAAGCCGTGCACGTCAGAAGGCAGGCTCCTCGCGAAGCCCATGGCCTGTGGCCACCACTCGGTCACGCTGCCGAACAGGACGTCGCAAGCGCCTGCGCGGACGATTTCGTCCGCACAGCTGGCGCCCCCGCGCGAGCCGGCACACGCCGGGAGCTCGTCGGGGCCGCTGCCGAGGCCGCCGCGGGGCCTCCCTGCGCCAACGATTTCGTCCACGCAGCTGGCGCCTCCGTGCGAGCCGGCACGCGCTGTGGGCCCGTCGGGGCAGCCGCCGAGGCCGCCGCGGGGCCGGCGAGGCGATGTGCCGCCAGCTTGCAGCGCCTCCACGCGCTGCCCGTCGAACGTGGTCGTGGCCAGGTGGGCCCTCATCATCGCCCACTCTCCTCCTCTGGTGCCCTTCATCGTCGTTGACGGGAGGGCTGGGATGGCCGTAAGCTCTCACCCGTACTTCTGCAACTGCAGCCTCATCTGCTCCAGCTTCTCCGCGTCCGCGATGTGCGTCTCGGACACAAGGAAGCCGTGCACGTCAGAGGGCAGGCTCCTCGCGAAGCCCATGGCCTGTGGCCACCACTCGGTCACGCTGCCGAACAGGACGCCGCAGGCGCCTGCGTCACCCTTTGGCAAGCTACCCGCGCTTCGCGGCGCCAGCAACCCAAGAACCAGCAGCACCAGCCACCTTGCCGCCGGCAGCGCCCTTGGCCTGGCCCTTGGCCGAAGCCACCTTCTTGGCGCGACCTCGCTGGGTGTCACGCTTGTGCTTCTCTATGCCCTCCTCGAGGGCCTGGCGCTCCTCCTCCTCGGAGAACGGAAGGGTCGGCGGGGCCTGCTGCGCATCAGTCTCCATGGCGGACTCTGGCTCCCCTTGCTTGGCCGCCTGCGGAGTTGCCGTGCCCGCCTCGGCCCCCGCCTTGCGCTTCTTGAAGGTCGGCAATGCCTTGCGCAGCTTGCCCAACTGGTCCAAGAGCGCCGCCTGGTGCGTTGCCGGCTGCTCGTGAAGCCGTTGGGCCTCTTCAGCATGACGTGCCAGCGTCCCCTGGTGCGGTGCAAGGGCTGCCTTGCCCGCTCCCTGTACCTCCTCCAGCTTGGGACGGAAGGCGTGGATCTCCTCCTTGACCTTGCAATCCTCGTAGTCGTCGAGATCCTGCAGCAACAGCGGGTCCACCTCGAAGTTGAGCACGGAGGGCGCAGTGGTCCCTGCCCTCTGCCCTCCGCTGGTGGTGGCCCTGTAATAGTCCTCCGAGGCCTTCTCGCGCTGCCGGTTGGCCTCGTACGCCTCCACGAGCAGCCTGTCACGCAGCTCCTTCGCCCGCTGGAGGGCTTGCTCTTTGGCCTGGAGCTCCTCCTCGGCCCTGACCAGTTCCTTCACATTCCTCTGCTGTGCCACCTTCGCCTGCGAGAAGCACTGCCAGAGGTCCTTGGGCTGCTCGCCTCCTGGCGCGGGGGCGGGCCTCTTCTTGCCCACCTCCGCGCGCACCGTGCTGCCCAGCTCGGGGTCGTGCTTGGCCATGATGGCGAGCGAGTACTCCAGCGGGCACTCACCAGGCTTGGGCCCCCAGAGCACACTGCCATGCGCTCCCTGCGGGCTCCCCCGCCTGCAGCTCCCGCGCGCTGGTCGCGCCATGGCGGCTTGACGGCAGCATACGGCTCGAGCCAATCGACGCACTGGCACCGTCCTCCCTATCTGTCCAGCCTCCAGTTGTACACCCAACGTCCGCAGTCATGGCACACTGTGAGCGGTTGACTCTTGGGCATGCTAGGTTGAGTGGGATCGATCAATCACTGGTCTGTCCAGCCGAACACGATCCAAGTCTCTCACTCAGAGCGCTCAAGATCACACTTGAGTCAGGAGGAGTAGGAGGTGGAGGAGGAGGAGGAGGAGGAGGAGGAGGAGGAGGAGGAGGAGGGGAGGAGGAGGAGGGGGGAGGAGGCGGGGGGGAGGAGGAGGGAGGAGGAGGAAGGAGGAGGAGGAGGAGGAGGAGAGGAGGAGGAGGAGGAGGAGGAGGAGGGGGAGTAGCAGGAGGAGCAGGGGGAGCAGGAGGGAAGGAGGAGGGAGGAGGAGGAGGAGGAGGAGGAGGAGGAGAGGAGGAGCGGAGGAGCAGGAGGAGCAGGAGGAGCAGGAGGAGCAGGAGGAGCAGGAGGAGCAGGAGGAGCAGGAGGAGGAGGAGGAGGAGGAGGAGGAGGAGGAGGGAGGAGGAGGAGGAGGACGAGGAGGAGGAGGAGGAGGAGCGGCAGCCGAAGCAGCAGGGGGGGGCCCGGAAGGGTGGCGGCGGCGTGTGGCCAGGGGCGCGGCACGAGACCGCACGAGCAGCGGCAGTACTGGCGCGGCGTCGAGCACGGGCGCGGCGGGCTCACTTGATGAGGAAGTTGCGGAAGTCGTCCTGGGCGAAATCGCCACGTACGGAAGGGGCTCAGGAAGGAGAGGGGCGAGAGGACCAGGAGCAGCAGGAGGCGCGGGAGCGGGACGAGTAAAAGGGAGATGTGGGGAAGAGCAGGAGGACACTGACTCCATACAGCGGACAAGGAGGACTAGTAGAACAAGGACGTTGAGGAGGAGGAGGAGGAGGAGAACAATACTGACAGCCATGATCCTCGATAATAAGATGACTGACTGACAATAAGATGATCAAAAGTCTTGGCAATCGGGATGGGAACGGAAGAGAGGATGCGATGCGATGCGACCACCGTTGCGGACAGTGTCCCGGCCTAGCTTAGACCAGATGGGTGAGTCGGTGGCCTCGAGAATCTGCCCTGGAGCCTGGAAGCAGGAACGAATAGGCGGAGGAGGAGGAGGAGGAGGAGAAGGCGGAGCAGGGGGAGAAAGCAGAGGAGCGAGTAAAGGGCGAGAGGCAGAGGAGCAAGTAAAGGGGCGCTGGCCTAGCGCTGGGGGGCTGACTCTGGCGGGCGACCCAACCTGGAGGAGCAGGGCGGCGATCCGGACGGGCACCGGGCTTTACCAAAGCCCGTGGCCCGTCCAGGAGGTGTCGCCGCGGAGCCCTACCTCGCCGCCGCGCTCGTGGCCGAGCTCAGGAGGAGGGCGAGCGCGGCGCGGCGGGGGTGCTGCGAGAAAGGGCCCGCGCCGCGCGGCGCGCGCCGAGCGCCCTGGAGGCCCCCCCCCAGGACTCGGGGTCTCCGGGGCCCCGCTGCCAGGAGGAGGAGGAGGGCGATACTCAGGAGGAAGAGGAGGAGGAGGAAGAGGAGGAGGAGGAGGAAGAGGAGGAGGAGGAGGAGGAGGAGGAGGAGCGCAACGGGCGGACAGCAGCCTTGCGCCACACGGTCAGGGCAGGCAAGGGGCCACGGGCTGGACGAGGAGGATGAGGAGGAGGACGACGACGGCGGCGGCGACGAGCAAGAGGAGGAGGGGCAACAGCAGAATCGGCGAGGAAGGGGAGACCAGAATGGCGGCCAAGCACGAGGGCGGGGCGCGAAATCTGGGGGGCGGGCACAATTCGACCCTGATATTTCTTCTGATCTTCCTGACCCATGACTTCGGAGCCGCTGGCCGTCGCAGAATGCGATGAAACCTCGGGATGGCGGTCAAGGGCGAGAGCTGAGAGGTGGGCACAACTCGACCCATATATTTCTTCTGATCTTCCTGATCCATGACTGAGGAGCCGCTGGCCGTCGCAGAATGCGATGGAACCTCGGGATGGCGGTCAAGGGCGAGAGCTGAGAGGTGGGCACAACTCGACCCATATATTTCTTCTGATCTTCCTGATCCATGACTGAGGAGCCGCTGGCCGTCGCAGAATGCGATGGAACCTCGGGATGGCGGCCAAGAACGAGAGAGGGGTGCGAGATCTGAGGGGTCGGCACAACTCAGGCCACAGATTTTCTGATCTTCCTGATCCATGACTTCGGAGCCGCTGGCCGTCGCAGAATGCGATGAAACCTCGGGATGGCGGCCAAGGACGACAGAGTGGCGCGAGATCTGAGGGGCGGGCACAACTCGAGCCCAATCTTTTCTGATCTTCCTGATCCATGACTTCGGAGCCGCTGGCCGTCGCAGAATGCGATGAAACCTCGGGATGGCGGCCAACAACGAGAGAGGGGTGCGAGATCTGAGGGATGGGCACAACTCAAGCCACAGATTTTCTGAGCGTCCTGATCCATGACTTCGGAGCCGCTGGCCGTCGCAGAGTGAAACAGGAACTACGCGTTCTGCAGCGGGCAAAACTAACGCCTATATTTAGGTCGGGCGTGTCCCCCCTACAGGGAGATTTTGGACGACAAATGAAGAATACCCCAAACTATTGCTTTACTATTTGGGAACATTCCCCCTGTAGATGGACAGGCCCGACTTGAGCCTATATCTACCGCCCCCTCTTTTGTCCTCGTCGTCTACTGGCTTACCTCCTGGCGCTGGGCATGCTTGGCACGCCCGCGCTCTACGTTTCTGTACCGCTTCGTCCGCTTCGCGTGCTGGACGTGCTTGGCCTTGGCTTCACGGATTGCTGCACGCTTCGCGTCCGCCAGCCTCTGGCTCTCTTCGACCACAGCCTGGCGCCGCTCCTCCTGCCCCGTCTTCTCGCACGCAGAGATAACCGAACGAGCCACGACCTGAGCGGCGAAAACAAACGAGCCTAACGAGGAGACCCCGAGAAGCATCTCGGAAGACTCTGGCCCACGTTAGCGTCGTCGTCGTCATCGCCGTTGTCGTCGTCGTCGTCGCCCCCCTTCAAGGTCGGCAGCACCGGCCGTAAGGCATTTGCAATAAACGGGTCTTGCGCGCGATGACATTGCGACCTTACGCGGTGACTCACGTGGGCCGCCAGCGCGGCACGCTACATTGGAGACAAGGGCGCTCACGCGCGGCCTTGCGCGGGAAACTTGCGCGCGAAAATCGGTGCAGAGGAACCCGTTTCCTTCCGTCGCTCACCTGGGACTCGGCAACGGAGAACCCAGCACTTTTACTTTCCTCGAAGACGTCGAGGAGAGTCTCCCAAAGCTCGCCCTTTTCGCAGGCGGCAAGGACAGCAATGAACGTGGGCTCATCGGGCGTAAATCCTTTTGTTCGCATCTCGCCCCAGATGTCCAAGGCTTTCTGCCACATTCCCTGCACCTCTAACTCGACGATGAGAGTCCGGTGTGCCACACGAGTGGCCTCAACGCCATCCTCGGCCATCCTCTCCCACAGTGCGAGCACCTCTTCGACGGGGCTCTCCGCATTTACCAAGGCGCGCATCGTCGACGAGTACGTGTATGCGTCCCTGCTCTCCTTTTCGACGCTCTCGAACGCCACCAAAATCTCCCTCCACTGGCCTCCCCTGGAGAGGTCCTCTATGAGCTCTTCGAAGAGGGCAGAGGCTTCCATCGCCCTACCCTGCTGCGCCAGCGCCGTCAGGGCGGGCTTGTAAGTATTCTTCAGCTGCGGCACCGACACTGGAACGCCAGCCCCCCGCATGTCCCGCAGCACCGCGACGAGCTCGTTCCAGCGCTCGCAGCTCTGGCAAACTTCCGCGACGTGCGTGTACAGGTCCTGCAGGAAGCCACATGTGCCCCGCTCAAATCGGGATCCGCCAAAGGGGGGGTGACCCTGAGGGGGGGCATGAGTTCGATCCGCTGATGCACCGAACTGCCGAAAGAGATGCCCCCCCACATGCCCCACCTATCTGCAACTATCGGGAGTTGCCAGCGGCTGGGGGCATATGTTTTGGGCGGTCTGGTGCAAAACCGATCGAACTCTCTCTCTCTGTCTCATACAACACATAAAACACACAAAACACACAAAACACACACAGACACACACAGACACACACACACACAGACACACACACACACACACACAGACACACACACACACACACAAAAACACACACACACACACACCGGGGCACACACACACCCTTTGCGGGAGCCCGCTCAAGGAAATCCGACTCCTGACAAATCGGCATCTCTCGGGGGGGGGGCATCTTTACTTCCGCGGGCATCCACCGGCGGAGCCGACCTCGCACGCACGTCCGCTGAATGCCGGAGGCCTGCCAGAGGCCTCAGCCAGGGGCGAGGCATCAACTTCCCGACTTCTCGAGGGCGAGGCCCCCTCTTCGAAGAAACCAGAGCGGCACGCACATAAACTTTTGGCGCTCCGCGCCGGATTTCTTGGATCTGTGCCGGACCTCCCTCCCTGGCGCGCGGAGCGCGCCAGGGGCGGCGCTGGAAGCGCCGCCAGGGGGGCCCCAGCGCGGATCTGAGAAATCCGTGCGGAGCGCTTCTTCTTCGATCTCTGGAACGCCCCACGTGAATACTCCGCCCCTCGAAAACCTGCGCGGGCTCGGAGATATCTGATAGCTCCTGCAGCACATCCACAACCCGTGCGGGAGGGGGCCTCGAGCGAACCAGTGACGTCGGCACTGCGACAGCGTGCCTCTGGGTGGACACCTGTGCTGCTCAGTGGGGCAACTCGGCGGCGAGCGAGGGGGGGAAGTGAGAAGGAGAAGGCCTTCTCAGAAGGCTCGGAACTCCCATGGCCTTCTGAGAAGTTTTCTAAGCCTTCCCCGAGGACACAGAAAACCTCTCAGAAGGTCAAAGGCGTTCTGAGAAGTCCCGCCGCCTTCTGAGAAGACCTTCTCCTCGTTCTCACTCCCCCCCCTCGCTCGCCGCCGGGCAACGCTGACAGCAAAGCTTCTGGGCAGTTCCCCACAAGAACAACAGGGAAAAACAGCCTGGCGCGGGCTTGCGGGCGTGGGCTTCACAAGCGTAGGCATCCCTGGGACCAGCAATGTTGGGACCCAAAAAGGCAATAGCGATTCGCACGTGGCTGCAGACCTTGGTCACTTCCCCGTACTCGGACTCGACCTCGTTTACCAGCTCGAGGGCCCGATCGGCGTCTTTGCCAGCCTTGCACGCCCTCAGGGCCGCCCTGTATATGTTGGGTCCAAGCCTGTCGTCCGAAGCGGCCTTCAGCGAGTCGAAGTAGTCCAGGGCGTCTTGGGCTGCGCCAGCTTCCGTGTAAGCGTCGATGATGGTGAAGTGTGCTTTCGGATCTAACTCGGCACCAGAGCTCAGCAGCTCTTTCAGAAATCCAATCGCCTCGTCGTACTGCTGCCTTTTGACGCATGAGCTCACCAGTCCCAGCCAGGTGGCAGCATTGGGCGCAATGCCCATCTCCTGCGTGATGGTGGTGATGATGGTAGTGCTAATGACGGTGGCGATATTAACAATGAAGATGACACTGACAATGACAATGAGGACGCTCGATGCACATCTCCTTCATTTGGTCGAGTATCTGCATCACCCTGCCGGTGGCCTCCTTCTTGTTGCCGCACGACAGGATAAGGCTATTGAAGATGTACACGTCTGGAGCGATGCCCGCCTCCAGCATCTCCTCGAAGAGCTGCACCGCGGCCTAAGAGGAAGAGGAGGAGGAGGTTGTCGCTCTCCTCCAGGAGGAGGAAGAGCAAGAGGAGGAGGAGGAGGAGGAGGAGGAGAGGAAGGAAGAGATGAAGGAACAGGATGAGGAGAGGGAGGAAGAGAGGTAGGAAGAGAGCGAGAGAGAGAACGAGAAACAACAAAAAAAACAAGGAGGAGGAGGAGGGGGAGGGGGAGGATTAGGGGAGGGAGGATTTACGAGGAGGAGGAGGAGGAGGAGGAGGAGGAGGAGGAGGAGGAGGAGGAGCACGAGGAGAAGGAGGAGGAGGAGGAGGAGGAGCAAGAGGAGGACTGGAGTAAACCCAAGGTACGTCTAAAGTGCTGCAAACATTCTCCCGCCCAGAGCCCCCTCGTCGCAAGTCCCTACGGGCCTTCCTTCTCGCAGCAAATCGGCTCCCTCTGCCAGCAGGCGATACCCGATCGTGCGAAGGAGCTGCTGCGGAGCGCCCTGGAAGAGAACAAAGCACGCATCCACATGTAACCATACGGTTCGACGAGGGGTCCGGCGAGACTCCCACCTGGAAAAGAGGACCGCCCATAGGCGTGCAACTGCTGCTCAAGCTTGCGATCATGGGCATGGCCCCGAAGAAATCTCGAGCAAGAGCCTCCTTGTGAAGAGAGAAGCCGCCCTGCATCCGCGTCATCGTTGCATCGGCACAAGCTTCGGGACGTTCAGCTCAAGGATGTCTCGAGCGAGGGACCCATCTTGAAAAGGAACCGCCATCCACCCTTGCAAATGCTGCAAACGCGTAGACAAGGCGAACGCACGCTGCGCTGCGGCGACAGCCTCAGTTTGGAAGGGAACGCTCGCAATGTCTAAATGCTGCAAGTATTTAAGCCGAATGCGCGGGGCGCTAAGGGGGGTCCCAATCTTGAAAAGGAACCGCCGTCCACTTGTGTAACTGTTGCAGGCATATGCGGCAAATGTGCGCGCTGCTAAAGGAGAGCTCCATGTTGAAAGCCACCCACCATAGATCCGGACATCTTTCACAAGCGTTCAAGACACGTGCGCGGCGCTAAGTGAAGATCTCACATTTGAAAACGGGCTCGCCCTCCACCCCTGTAACAGTTGCAAGCGTGTGAAAAGGACGTGTGCGGTGCTGAGGCTAGAGCTCCCCTTCGAAAGCCATCCGACATCCATGTTCGTAACTACAGGTTGGGAAGCTCGAGCTTCATGATAATAATTGTGCGAGCGTCTCAGGCGAAAAGCCTGGCCCGCCCTGGCAGCGCGTCTGGTGGTCAAACGCGGAGTTAATTGAAAGGAAAAAGGCACGGAGGAGGAGAGGGAGGAGGGTGAGGAGGAGAAGGAGGGTTGGAGATGGAGGAGGAGGAAAAGGATCAGGAGGAGGAGGAGGAAGCGGCCTTCCACTGGCCCCACGTCTCGCATGCCCGCATTGCCACGCCGTAGGTCACGACGTCCTGGGGGGGGCGCTCAAACTCCAGACCCAAACCTCCGACGCCGATCCTGTTTCGAGACGTGGGCTGCAGAAGCTTTCGACCCCATCCTGGTTCGCTGGGCATTCTTGTCGCTGCGAGGCTCAAGCCCCCCGAGCACGACCGCCCCTCTTTTTGTCCGACACCTAGAGCCCGAACAGAAGTACGCCTGCAATGCTATGCCTCGGCACCTGGAGCCTGGGCTGGCCAGGCCCGCTTTTACTCCGACCACGGGCCCCTCCCAGGCACCGTCAGGGTTGGTGTTTCGAGCCCCGTCCAGCCGTGGCCACGGGCCCCCCCTTCTCCCCTTCCCCCCTCCCCTCCCCACATCCCTCGCCTGCCGGTTTGCCCTGCCCTCCTGTGCCCATCCTGCTCCTCCCCCCCCGCGCCCAGGCGCCTGAGGTACGCCAGCCTCGCGCATGTCCCGGAAGAGCTCCAATGCTTTCTTCGCCTTACCCACCCGCGCGTACGCACCGATGACGTTGGTGTAGGTCACCGTGTCCGCAGGGATGCCGCGCCGCTGCATCTCCTCTAGATACCAACCTCCCTCCTCCCCTGCTCAGTGTCGGGTGGAAGACCGATAGTGTGACCGATCTTCCGCCAAGCACCGCATGCGTCATATAGCCCTGCCGGGGTAGTCACATCGGGCATACTTGGGAAGTATGTAGGAGGAGGACGAAGAGGAGGAGGAGGAGGAGGAGGAGGAGGAGGAGCAGGAGGAGAAGGAGGAGGAGGAGGAGGAGGAGGAGGAGCGGAGGAGGAGGAGGAGGAGGAGGAGGAGGAGGAGGAGGAGGAGGAGGATGGAGTGAAGAGGGAGGGGGGTTTGGGGGGGGGGGGGGACCTGGGGGGGGGGGGAGAACGCGGAGAGGATCGGGCGGAGGAGCTTCCTTCTCTCCCCCGGCGGCGGGGCGGTGGCCCGACACGGCGTGGGCGCCGCTGGGCAGGGAGCCTGGCCCCGCGGGGAGAGCTGGGAGGGTCGCCCCGACAGGCCTGTCGCCGCGCGCGCGCACCGCCCCCGTGCACGGCCGGGCCGCGGCAGCCTCGGCCCGCCACGGCCTCCCAGCGAGTGTCGCCGAGCTGCGAGGGCGGCGCCCGTGCACCGTGCCGAGCTCTCGGGCGCCCTGCGCGCCCGGATGCGGCGCGGTGCGGTGCGCAGCTCTTCGGCCGAGGGCCGAGCAGCGACGCACAGTGGCATGCCCGGGTCGAGGGCCCACGACGCCTCGAGAGACGCCAGCACGCAGTGGGGTGCACACGGGTCCTCCGCGGATAAGGGGGCATCTCGGGAACCCAGGCCAGCTCCTGCTGACAGCGCTGTCCCAACGTATGCTATCATATGACGGCTTCGCCGGCCACGAGTCTGTACGCAAGGGGGAGCCATTCCACCTTCCCGTTCCAACAGTTCCTGTGAACGGAGGCGTCTTTTCGCTTATATGAGACCTTGGTGCAGCGCAACAGAGCGAGGCAGGTCGCCAAGACATCACCGAAAATCGATGCCTGGGGCATTCCCATGGTTGTCCCGTGGTTGTCCCGTGGTTCTCCCATGGTTGTCCCGAAGTTGTCCCGTGGTTGTCTCACGATCGTCCCGTGGTTGTCCAAAGGTTGTCCCGCGGATGTCCCCCGATCGTCCCCTGGCTGTCCCGTGATTGTCCCACGGTTAGCGCCTCGCCGTGGTTGTCCGACAGATGATAAATAGACAGATCGATCGACCGATCGATAGATAGCGAGGGTGAGATCGAAAGATAGCGAGATCGAAGTTTAATGGCAATGGGCACACAATGAGATCGACAAAAATGTAGTGAGACTTGTAGCCAGTAAGGACGACAGATATACAATAAGATAGATAAGCATAAAGACATAACGGCACATAATGGTACCGATACGTCGTTGATCAAAAGATAGCGTGATGGTGGCATTGATAGATAGACAGATGGTATACACTGAATCGTTCAACGTGATGGTAAACGCATCGGTGTGTGAAGTGAACTCCGTGCAATGCTAAATCCGTAGATCTACACAATTGAATATTGAAACCGTGGCACTGGCACATGGATAATTGGTGAGGTTCTGAGATCGGCATGACTCCGAAACGTTAGATCTGTCGCGACCTGATGATACCCATACAAACATGCACATATACACATACCTATACATATATATATACACATATATATACGTATGTGTTTGTATGTGCATGTGTGGACAATGAGATATGCGGGAAGCTTGTGCGACCGATGCACGATGTTAGCTATGCATCTAATGTATAAAACGGCTATTAAGGTGATAGTGGCATCATCAGAAAAGAAGATCGCCAGTCATATACATACATATATATGTGTATGTATACATGTGTGCGCAGGCCCCCCCGAAGCACTCACTCATGTACCAAATGTCTATGAGCTGCTCATTCGTACTCTTACTAAGCGTCCACGATATTTTCATCCGTGCCCACTCATCCATCCTTCTGGTTCGAAATGTATACGCTGTGTGTTCGCCTCCTCCTCCTCCTTCTCCTTCTCCTCCTCTGCCGGTGACACAAGGAAAAAGAGAGAGAGAGAAGCAAAAACAAGCATCAACGACAACGCAGACAAAACAAGCACAAAAGCAACTACAACAAAAACAACACAGAGCAACAACCACAACAACAACGACAGCAACAAACATGTTAAGGCTGTTCGCTCTTCCCTGCTCCCGTGCTACTCACCACATATATCATAAACCCTTGTACCCGCCCTCTTCGTCTTCGATTGCACCCCCTTCGGGGTGTATCTTTCTTAGCTGCTACGTGTGTATTCCGTGCAGCCCCTAAGCCAGGGAAAGAGAGGACGGATGGAAGGAAGGGGCAAGGGGGAGGGAGGAATATGGAGCACGAGAGAGCGAAGCAGGATGGGGGCTAGGAGCAGAAAACACTTGACAGGACCAGACGGGCAGAACGGGTGGGTAGACCCTGACGGGCTGGTCGGGAAGGCGGGCCTAGACGGCCAGGTCGAGCAGGCGGGTTGCTAAAGTGTGCGTCCTGCGCGAGTCGCGAGGAAGTCTCGAGCGATAGCGCGATTCTCCAATACATCTTGAAGAAATCCACAGCGAGAGCGTCATTCCTGAGTGTCGAGGGCGTGGCGTCTGAATAACTTGCAAGGATGTCCCACGCGAAAGCGCGATTCCTGTATAGATTATGAGGGCGTCCCTCGCGAGAATACGCTTTGGGAACAAACTGTGGGGAAAAATGAAGCGGGAGCCTCTGTTGTTGTTGTTGTTGTTGTTGTTGGAAACCGGGGGACAAGGGCACAGGTTGAGCAGGTAAAAAACACAGCGCGCCCCGGGATGGGGCACGTCAAATGAAAAAGCACGCATGCTGCGCAAATGCGCGACTCCGGCTGAATTCGCCAGGAGAGAAAGTCTCGGGCGAGAGCGCGACTCCCCAGCAAATTACAGGGAAATCCCAGGCGAGCGCGCGATTCCGGAATGGCGAAGGCGTGGCGCTCGAATTCACTGAGAGGGAGTTGCGGGCGAGAGCGCGACTTTTTTGATATGTTGCAAGGTCCCGAGCGAGAGCACGATTCCTCAGTAAACTGCAGGCAAATATCGAGGGGGAGTCGTTGTTGTTGTTGTTGTTGTTGTTGTTGTTGTTGTTGTTGTTGTTGTTGTAATCCGGGGGCCAGGGGCGCAGTTTGAGCAGGAAGGCTTTCGCTAATGAAAAAAACGGGTGCGAGCCTCGGGAGGGCACTTCAATTGAAAAGACACCCGTGTTACTGGAGGGGGGACCAACAACAATTATTCTTCAATCGTGAGAGTTCAACAAGACTGTTTGCTTTGATGCGCTTGCATACCATTCAACACGAATATCCCAAACCCTCGATACCCAACTTCATCGTCTTCGATCGCACCCCCTCGGGGTTGTATTTCTCTTACCTGCAACGTGTATTTCGTGCAGCCCCTAAGGCATGGGAAGAAAGGGTGGATGGAAGGAAGGGACAAGAGGGAAGGAGGAGGATAGAGCACGAGAGAACGACACCGCGGTTCCCAGATAAATCATGAGATGGGCCAAATCGAGAGCCTGATTCCTCAGTGTCGAGGGTGCGGCGTCTGAATCAAGTGTGGGGAAGTCTCAAGCGAGAGCGCGATTCCTGAGTAGACTGCAAGAAAATCTCAAGCGAAAGCCTGATTTCACACCAAACTGTGAGGAGGCATCTGGCGGGAGCCGTTGCTGTTGTGGCTCGGGGGCCCGCCGCCCGGTTTGAGGCTCAAGACGCTTCCTGGTAAAAAACAAAAGGCGAGCCCCGGGAGGGGCCCCTCAATAGGAACACATCTTAAGGTTACTGGAGAGAGATCAAAAAACAAGTATTCTTCTTACATGGGATTTCAACAACAACAACAACCACCACCACACCACCAACAACAACAACAACAACAACAACAATTTTAAGACTGTTCGCCCTTATATGCTCGAGTGTCCAATAACGCGAATTTCCCAAACCCTCGATCCCCGCCCTCTTCGTCTTCGATCGAACCCCTTTTGGGGGGTATACCTTTCTTCCCTGCAGGCCGGGCCCCGGCAAGCGGCGGGGCGGCCGCGGACCGTCGGCCTGGCCAGCGGCAGCGCTGATCGGCGGGGCGGCCGCGGACCGTCGACCCGACCCCAAGAGGGACGGACAGGGGACCGACCACGACGACGACGACGACGACGACGACGACGACGACGTCGAAGACGACGGCGACGACGAGCGAAAGCGAGAGCGAGAGAGAACGACAGCAGGGCCACGAAGGTCACGAAGTAGGCCACGAAGGGCGACAGCGGGGACACGAAGGGAATGCGTATGGGGCCACGAAGAATGCGAACGAGCGGGGGCCACGAAGTGCAGATAGTGCGGGGCCACAGAAGGCAACTATGGGGCCACTGAGGGTAGCAACTGGGCCACGTAGGACAGTGAGGGGGACACAAATGGCGACAGCGGGGCCACGAAGGGCATGCACATGGGACCACAACGGGCGCGACTCCTGGGCACCTGGGTGTCGGGAGCGCGGCGCTTGGGCAAATTGCAAGAAATTCCAACGCAAGGCTATTCTTCAGTAAGTTGCAAGCAAGTCTCCAGCGAGAGCGCGACTCCAGAGCTCTGGGAGAGCGATTCCTGAATAAATTGTAAGGAAGTCCAAAGCGAGAGCGCGATTCCTGAAAAAAATGCGAGGAAGTCTCGGGCGGGAGCGGGGGTCCTGCCTAAATTGTAAGGAAGTCTCAGGCGGGAGCCGTTGTTGTTGTAACCCGGGTGCCAGGGCCCAAGTTTGAGCAGGAAGACTTTCCCTGTCAAAAAACAGGGTGCGAGCGTCGAGGGGCACACTTTGATTTAGAAAAAACAGCATGCACCGGTGGGTGGGGATCAACAATAATTATTCTTCAGACATGAGAATTCAACACCAACAACAACAACAGCATCGACAACTGCCAACTTAAAACTGATCGCTCTTATCTGCTCGCGCGCCATTCAACACGTGTATCCCAAACCCTCCGTACCCGCCCTCTCCGTCTTCGATCGTACC